ATTTCTCGTAAAAAATCAGTGTTGACATGAAATTGTAATTTGTAGGACGCTTGATAAATTACGGTAACTACGCAAACGTGCTTAGTTACGGAGGTGTAAACAATTCCAGTTGTGGCTTTGTGAAACGGCTTCAATTGCGCTCCGTAGTTTGAAAGGGTGTGAATTACGGAAAGGTGTAAGTTACGGCAGAGCTTTATGAAACGAGGCCCAGGAGGGCAGAACAGTTTCGGTTCAGTTAACCCTCGCCCCGTTGGGGGGGGGGGGCATTTTGGCCCCCCTGTAGTTTTTCCTAAATAGCAAGAAAACGGCGGGCTGCAGCGCCGCCAAATTTTCAGTACCTTCCCGGGCATCAATTTGACACCTTCACACCAAATTTCAAGTCTTAGGTCACCTTAGGTCAGGAGTTATTGAGGTCAAACTGAGGTCATGTTAGAGCAAAAATGAGCAAAAAACATGCAATCTTGAAACGCTCACCAAACCTACAGTTATCAAGCAATTTCAAAGTTCTTTATATGGTCTAGTAGACAAAAAGCGGCGCTACAAAACTGCTATCTCGGATTTTCAAAATTTTGGGTTTTTGACCATAAAAAAATCAAAAAATTGATTTTTTCAGAAAAACTAAAAAAAATCCAAAAATTTTTCCGAATTTCGAAAGAACCGGAAAATATGTGATAGTCCCTGTGCTCTTCTATATACATGCCAAATTTTTGATCGATATCTCGTTTTTTGGCCAAGTTATAGCGAAAAAAAACTGTTCAAAAATGATGACGTCAAATTTTTGAACTCAATTTTTAGCGATTCTAGACCACGTACGGCAAAACAAAGACCACCATTGAACTCTCCGTGACGAGCTGCATCGATTCGATACCCATTTTATGCAAAATATTAACTTTGAAATTTGACCTAATTTGACCTGACCTTGACCTGATCTTGACCAAAACGTGACCTAAGCTGGCCCCAAAGGCTGCCTTACCCACATAATCGCATTCGTCATGTAAAATGGACTATAAAACATGTATCACACGACACTTTCATATTGTGACCCCCCGTGACCTGACCTCTGTGACCTGACCTGGTATCAGTGACCTCAAATAGCAAAATATGTGTTTGAAGAACATTTCCCCATCGATGATTTTCAATGAAATGCATTTTACTCGATTTTACAACGCATTTCTTGAAATGCCTGTAAACGGTGAAAATTGGACCTTTGACCTGACCTGTGACGTCACCGGTTTGACCTAGGTCAATAAAATTGGGTCACAAGGTAGTTCCCTGATAGGGCTATCCAACACTGTTTGCCGCTTGTCGCTAGGTTGCGTGGTTCTCGAGATCTTAGGGGGGGGGGGGCAAAATGCCCCCCCCCCAACGGGGCGCGTTGCTCGGCAGAGCCCAATGGGGCGCGGGTTAAACATTAATAACGCAACAATGGCAGTTGTCGGAGTATACGCGCCGACGTAAGGACATTGCCAAGTAAACTTTTTATAAAGAACTACTGTTAACGCCAGACCCGTTGAGACCCTAATTTTTCGCGATTATTTTTAAATGCGTGGAATAATTTCAACCATATTTAGGAAATAGCTGTTTCAAGACCTGCCGAAACTTTTTCTTCAAATACGTTTTGCTGTCATTTACATATTTGTGGCACTTGTCATTGACTCGTAATGTTAACTGTTTTTCCATCCTGGATAGAGGCTTTCATACGTCATATGACATTAGGCTCCGCCCACGGCTGCGGCATTGACCCGTGCCCATCAGCGACCTCTGTACACACGACACCCCTGCCATCTGTAAAGGACTATGAATTTCGCTGACGCTTCACGTGCTATGTATCAATTGCAGCAGACGGTCAAGTAAATGTTAGGCTCTTGTTGACTCTTGTATATAGGACCAAGAGGACCATCACTCCTCAACCTACTACTCACACGCTTCGAACAAACGTTAACGATTCCTAACAAATACGATTTTCGATGTAGGATATATGTTTGAAATACGAGCGAGCCTTATGGTGTGAAGCGAAGGCAATTAACTAATTATTGCGTTGTTCGATGGTTGCATATAGCGATGTACAAATCAGCAACTACTTGATGACATCCGACATCCCATTATCACATTATCTGCAACGCCATAGGCTTTAAATACAGGTGAATATTTGCTAACGTTATGTCAGGTATATGCCATCTGCCCGTCATTTGCAGCTTATGAAAATAAAACAAATATCAGCGAACCTATCAGCATTGTACAAACAATGCGCATTGAGCATTTATGGCTCCTCAGTCATCATGTCGCTCTTTGGGCACTGTCACTGTCAGACAAGACGTTACGCACAACTCCGCCGGCTTTCGGCACCGCTCGACCGTCCCCGCTCCCTGCCACAGCGCGAGTGACCGCGCGCCGGCCCGAAACCGCCGCAGGCCAAGACCACAGAGGCTTTGACAGACTACAGAGGCTTTAGCTTTGACGTCATAACGTATCACAGACTGACTGGTGATAGCCTCTACACACCGGGTGAAAATCTTGCTCGAAATTTAACATTACGAGTCAATGAGAAGTGCCTGAAATATTGAAATGGCGACAAAATATCTAAATTGTAAAAGTTTCGGCAGGTCTTGAAACGGCCATGTCCTGAGCTTGGTTGAAATTCTTCCACGCATTTAAAAATAATCGCGAAAAATTAGGGTCTCAAGGGGTCTGGCGTTAACAGTAGGCAAGCACATACGATCCCTACAGATAACGCACCCGCTTATTGTTTGCGGAGATTTAATCATACATTTATCAATGCCTGTTTCCAGTCAAAAAAATTTCACTCAGGCATCTACCACCGCTCAGGCTGTGAGTGAACTAATGCGAGAATTTGATCTGAAAGATGTCTGGCGCGAAGCGAACCCAAATTTGTGTCGATATACGTGGAGAAAGTGTCATCCATTGCAACAATCCAGAATAGATTACTTCCTTGTAAGCAGCGTGTTTATAGATGCTCATCATGTGGAAAAAATTGACATTGAACCCGGCCCAAGAAGCGATCACAGTATCATAACGTTCTCAGTAAACGTATTTGGGGACAAGCGGGGACCAGGTGTATGGAGATTGAACCTCAGCTTACTCGAGTGCGCTGATGTGGTTAATGAAATTAAAGAGGAAATACATACCTAGGGCAAAACAAAGGCAGAGCCAATACCATGGGGCTAGCGAACTAGGCCTGTTGATAGAAATGCTGCTGTCAAATACAAGAGTAATATGCATTAAGGCGAGTAAGCGGAAGGCGCGAGAAAGGCGAAAACGCGAAAAAGAGTTAGAAGCCAATGTAAATGAACTAGAAACAGGCGCGGATACAAGGGGGGGGGCCATGGGGGCCATGGCCCCCCCCCTTGGCCGATTTTTTTTTCAAAAATAAAATAAAAAGTTAAAAAGTTAAAAAGCTGAAAAGGGGACCTCCTGAAAATAAAGTGGCCGAAATCCGATGAGTTTTTTTTTAACCTACCCACTTAGTTATTTCTTAGAAGACTAGCTGAGAAGACTTCTTTTTTAGAAGATTGGTAAAGCTTTTCATAACTTGGAGGTCTCTTATACTCACAGAGATGACCACTTTTACAGGGCCTCCTAACCTGCACAGAGGGCCTCCAAGCCTGCACAGATGTTGAGATGTTGCCTGAACAGCTAGATAAGCTCAATAGACGCAGTTTTTTTTTGGGGGGGGGGGCCAACAAGTGGGAAGATGGGGCCTCCAACAGGTGGGATTATGGGGGGGGGCCTCCTGGTTTCTAATGGCCCCTCCCTTGGAGATTTTCTGGATCCGCCCCTGACTAGAAAAGTCACTAAAGTTCGTTTTTTTTTTTAAAGGACGCTGGCCCAAAGTTCACTATCGAGGCTCTCACGTGAGTTTTGGCAGCTTCAGTGTCTGGCGAAGAGTTTCTTACCGAAAAAAATAACCGATTTCAAATTGTGCACGGTAAGTAGCTGGAAATTATTTCTGAAAAATGAACATATTATGATGACGTCACTGGTGGCAGCAGGCACCCAAATGTCCGTGCAATGGGACAAGTGTCAACGAATTTGGGTGAAACTTCTTAAAAACGAACATATTATGATGACGTCACTGGTGGCAGCAGGCACCCAAATGTCCGTGCAATGGGACATTGGGACAAGTGTCAACGAATTTGGGTGACACTTAGTTTTTCACTGTTGCCGAGCTTATAATCGAGTAAGCAGTTCCGTACATGATAGTTATAAGTTACATTGCAATACATGTTCGACAGTATGACGTCACCACTGTTTTCATATACAGGGTGTCCCGAAATTGATGCGCGGTTGGTGCCGCATGTTATGTTGTCCCTCCCGAGTGCTGAACAAATGCAATTTTACCGGCTCTGGCACCACGGACATCTTGCTGGTCACACGATCACGTGAACCAAGCGGCTAACCCGACCGCGGCCGGTAGTGGGCGCGGGAGGCCACTCTTGTCCAGACAGGCAACGTGGAGAAACCGCATATCACCAAAAGTGAAAAGGCACAAACTACCGATCCGCTTCCGCGCGGTGGGGATGATCAAGGACGGTGTGACCCAGGTTCCGGATGCCAGAGAATTGGGCGTCAACTCTGCGACAATTAAACTTTGGATGGACTGCAAACGATCAGGAGAGACACTCAAGAACAGCACAGTTCGAGGGCGGAAGGGGCGGAAGACTGCCTTGAGCAGAGTGGCGAAAATCGTGATTGCAAAGTCGACCTTTAAAAAGCACCATTCAACATCGCTGACAAGAAAACTGAATGAGATGCATGTCCCAGCATCCAAATCGACCCTCCACCAGTATTTGAAGACTATCTTGAAGCTGAAGCTGCTCAGCTTCAGGATGCAGACTTGGCCTACCGTGGTCCAGAAGTGCAGGCAGCTGGATTTCGCCAAGACCCACAAAAACTGGACCATTCAGGACTGGAGATGCGTCCTTTTCAGTGACAAGGTGCCCTTTGTGGTCTCTAAGCCCCTTACTGCCAGAACGATCGAAATGTGGGCCAACGGCAGCTCTGAGGAGTCCGCTGTCGAGACCGTGAAACGTCTGCTGAAGAATCTCATTTGGAGCATGATGAGCTACAGAGGCGCTCTGGCCTCTGAGCTTTACGAGGTGCCTCGGGGACAGACCGTGACTGCTTATTATTATGTCAACGAGGTGCTGGAGAAGACTGATGCCACAAAGATGCTGAGGGAAAAGGTAAATGGTTCAAAAAACCAGACTCAAACTTTTGTCCGACATGTCCAGGGCCATTTTCAGCAAGAAAGGGTTCCAGCTTATCACGCCAGGAAGACCCAGGACTGGTGCCGAGCGAGGCTCCCAGGCCTCTGGGAGAAGGGGACATGGTCTGGCAACAGTCTGGACCTGTCCCCGATCCAAATTATCTGGACGATCGTCAGAAAAGAGCTCAGCAAGCTTCCACGGGCTAGCTCAGAGAAGAGGCTGTTTCAGAAGATATAAACGGCATGGCGTTGTTTCAAAGGAGAGACTCTTGACAACCTGAAACGTGACACGCTAGACTGCAATAGGCCGTGTATGCAACTGAATGGGGACTATGATAACATATAAGCCGTGAAATAAATTCGAGCACTTTATAAGTTATTGAGGATAGGACAACCGCGCATCAATTTCGGGACACCCTGTATGGTTCCAAAACGCACATATGTAAATTATCGGGAAGAAATCACATGTTAAAATTAGTCGACGTTCGATTTTCTCAGCTTCAGTTTTTGCTCGTTTTGCTCGCTAAAACACGTGCTTGTTCGAAAAACATACTTGGAACCAGCGTCCTTCTGAAAAAAACGAACTATAGCATTGTTGCCACCAGGCGGGTGACGGAACGTGATCGCCTGAGGCGGTGGGGGTAAACATATTTTCGTCATTCAATGCTCAATGCAATCGCTGCGACTTTTTACAAGACCTTCTCCTCGTCGATGTTTCTTGCTTTCAACGACTGGTCCCCGAGTGATGACTATCCTCACGCAAGATAGGAGGAATGTAGCTACCAATTAAGCCCAAAAAACATATCGAAAATGTTACAAAACACTTCTTTTGAAGGACATGAATTGAATGGTTTTGGAGCCTCACGAAACGAGTTTCAGATATGACGCGTAAAATAAACTGACGCATAAAGACTGTGTTCAAAAGTGTGAGCGGCAGCTCCGCAAGCACTTATTAACAAATGAATATCGTAGGTACTGCTCGGTCGCCATAGCAACAAGTAAGTGTCACAAATTTCGAACACTATCTGAGTGCGCCAAGTTCGACTACATCGAGGACTACGGGTGATGGTTGCCAGCTGATTAAATTAATGAAACGCGAATAAATTCAACTTTCGTTTGAGATGGCGAGTAAAATCTGTTTGTTAATTTCAAATATCATTGAATTAGTTTTCGTATATAAAATAACTACAAACGCCTCTGTGCAATGAATTAATCAAGGCTTATGGAAATCGTGAGTAGGGCTGGGAAAAGCAGAAAAAGAATCACGTGACTGGCGTCCAAGCCTTATCTGTAAGAATCTTGGTTGCCACCATCCATAGATCTGCAGGACGAATATAAGCGAAAGAAGGATGAGCTGGATACATTCAAGCTACGTGTCGCCGAAAAAGCGATGCTCTGGTCTCGAGCGAACTGGCTAGAACACGGTGAAAAACTAACTATGTAGATACTTTTTAAACATGCATTGTGTCGCGGAGGACCGCTTGATTACATAGCAGGTTCAGCGCGAGCTCCAAATAAATTTGAGCTGATTTAGAGGAGAAAAAGTGGGAACGACTTCTGAAGTGGGTCAATAAAGTGAAGCAATGTAGAAACAGTATTTGAATATTAAGTCGAATTAAGCAATTAAGACAAAACACAACGCGAGTAAAATATCACAAACATTTGATGCCGCGATGACCCGGATGTTAAGCTATTGATTGTCACATTGCATTGAGCAAAGCTAACGTAATTAAGCTCTTTGAAGTTTGATTGAGTGAAGAAACGGACGGTTACGATGAGCATTTGCATGAGTTTTAATGTACAGTAAATGATGAAGCTTGGGTGTAATTATAAAGCTGTGTAGTGTAGGTAAGTGAATTTAGAATATCGGCGAGCAAGAATGGCCGGAAAGAAGAAGAAAGGAACACAGCCCCCTGAAGGTTCAGAACAGATGGCGGAAGACAGCGCGACGGAGCTTTCCCTAAAGAAGAACATGGCGGCAACAGTGAGAGAGTTTCATAAAGCTCAGAGGGAACTCAACTCGCTAGTCGAAAGCGGAGAGTTAACTGTAGGGAACTCAGTAGAAATATTGGAGTCCATGGACAACCTGACTGAAAAACTGAATGAAATTGGGGAAGCTCTAAGCTTGAAGATGTCTGAACAAACAGAAAGAGAAGAGCTGTGGATAGAGATAGAACAGATGGAGAAGGACGGCAGAGAGGCAATAAGATTCGCCAACAAAATGATCAGAGAGCAATTGGCTTCCGTAAGTTCCCAAGGAAATGAAGAAGCACCAAGAGCGCAGAAGAAAGCAGAGGCTAGAACCGCTCGAATCGACTGGGGCGCGTATGGATTAAAAAATCCCCCGCTGTCGGTCTTCTCCGGGGACAACAGAAAATATGAAGACTGGAAGACCACGTTTGATGCATTTGTCGACGGCGAAGAAATTCCAGAGAAGTTTAAGATGATGCAGCTTCGCAACTGTCTTTCCGGAGAGCCACTCAAGCTGGTGGAAAGATACAGCCCTACCAAAGCCGGATATGACAAGGCTAGGAGTGAATTGGATCGAAGGTACGGAGGGTCGGGCCGCCGGATACGGTATCAGCTGGAAGAAATCAGACACCTGAGACCGGTCCGTCAGGGCTCATACAAAGATCTCGAAGATCTAGCCGATCGAGTGCAGAGTCTGGTGACCCAGCTTGAAGAACATGGAGGGGCTGGAGATCTCTCGGACGTCTCAGCCTATTATATTCTTGTACAAGAAAAGCTGCCAGCCACCTACCTCAAGAGTTACAAGCGCTGGCTGCAAGTTCAAAAAGAAAAGGACAGCTTCACTCTCTTCGCCGGTTGGCTCTCAGATGAAGCGGTGTGTGAGAGAGATGCCCATGAAATGAGCGGAGCCGGAAGCAGTCACTGGCAGTCAGAAGACCGAAAGAAGTCGAAACCGAGGCAAGGAGAGAAACGAGGCGAACACGAATACAAGAAGAGCTTCAATGCAAGAAGTGAACACCGTGCCAAAGAGAATGGACCCATGAAGTGCAAGTACTGCGGCGGAGAGCACAAGTTGGAAGTGTGCCCCATGTTTTGCCAGTGGACTGTTGGGAGCAGGTGCCACTTCTGCAAGACGAAGAATCGCTTCCTTCCCGCCCACCTCAGCGTTTGGAGGTGGCCAAGGATGTCCGACAGCGCAGCCAGTGCCAGCTTGAAACGCGCAAGAAGAGGAGACAAGCAGGGTCAGAGAGCAAGGCACAGACGACCAGTCACGACCTACAGCTAAATCCAGTCATCCCGCCGCTCGACTCGGACAAGAACAGCAAGGACCCACTCTACATCGGCCTGCCCAACTTTGGGAACATCTGCTATCAAAACGCCACCCTGCAATCCCTGCTGGGTCTCCAACCGTTCCAGAGTGAGATGGTGTCCCTGATCTCGGGCCCGGTCGAAAGCGGCCAGTGCCGCACGCTGTGTGGCGTTGCCAAACTGATGGATCTTCGCCAGAAGGCGCTCAGCAAATTAGTCTTCAGCCACCTGAATGACCTGCGCGATGTTTTCGCCGACATCGATCCGGCGTTTCGAGGCACCGAGATGCAGGACGCCAACGAGTTCCTGTTGCGCCTGCTGGACACAATGAAAGACGAAGTTGACGCTCGACGATCGACAGACAACCCGGTCCGCGACAACTTCCATTACCAGACCCTCGAGAGTTACAGGTGCACAAAGTGTCATGAGACAGTTCTGAAGCGCCAAGAGAACATCAGCTGGTTTGTGAGCGTACCGCACCACCAGGGCACCGAGGCGCCCACGCTGCAGGACGCGCTGCGGCTGAGCATGCGACCCGACCGGCGCCACCTGCTCTGTCAGCACTGCCGCCACGATGAGTGTTACGTCACCACCAAGATAAGTCAGCCTCCCAGGACACTGATCCTCCAACTGAACCGGTGTGTCTTTCTGGGGGATGAGGCGAAGAAGATCCGGACCAAAGTGAGCATCCCCAAGTTCCTCTCGCTGAACGAGTTTGTCGCGGACGACGTCACCCGGCCTCCCGAGTGGAACTGCACAAATCCTTCCCTGTGTACTAGGGAGTCGGAGGTTCCCTCAGGCCCACCGGCCGCCACCGCCGCCCCAACAGCGCCCACCACTGCAGGCTCTCCAGTGTCGGCCGGAGCCACGGCGCCGGCTCGTCCTTCGCCATCGGCGACTGCTGCTGCTGAGTCGCCGCCATTGCCGCCACCCGAGCTGCAGGTGTTGGACGCCGCCAACTCAAACTCGAAGCCGGGGCGGACCCGTGAGGACAAGGGTCGCGAGCTCCATGTTATCAGGAGGTCACAGGAGAGAGAGCCGGCCGGCGCCGTGGAACAGGTGCACCTTTCCGAGTTTTGCGTCCAGGAAGATCAGTCGCTCCGTCCCGTCGACCTGGTCGGCGACTTTACGTATCGGCTGGTGGGAGTCGTCAGCCACTACGGTGGCGCCACGCACTCAGGACACTATGTGTCTGACGTGTACAGTGTAGGACGGGACATGTGGTTCCATTACGACGACCAGCGAGTCAGCTGCGTGGGCGAGGGGTACGTCCTGAATGAAGGTCACCAACGGGACGGTTATACCTTCTTTTACCTCCACAAGGAGCTCTGCAGCCAGATAGTCAGGATGGAGGGTGGGGGACTGTAACTGCCGCACGGAGGATTGGCGCTTGAACGCCTCCTGACCGTGTCCGAGCGGGCATGTGTGTATGGGTTTGTGTGTGCGTGTGTGTGGATATGTACCGGAAATGTTTTGTATCACCTTTTTATTACATGGATTGTTGTATTATATACGAGTCATTTAAAAAAAAATCCTTTTGTCTGTTTAGTCGAAATGGCTTGAATACAATAAACAAAACAAAGCAACTCAGATTCAGACTCTGTATTTTCATGTTACCTATACACTGCCTTTCTGAAGTTGTAAGACTCCTAATGGATACTAGGTCCTGCAAGGTTCATTTCCCTGTGAAAGCTCCTCTGGGAGTGAGGGCGTTGCGAAGTTGCGACATCTGAAGACCGTGCAGAGGTTCACTTTTGACTTCATAGGTCAGTGACCTGATCTGACCCGAAAATGTGGTTGGTGTCAACAGATCCGGCTTGATTCAAAGGTCAGGTATGCCTAGCTTCAGTTCTCTATCACCGGCGTGTTCGGAGCTATCGCGAAAAAAAAAAACTATGGAGGGGCGGCACCCGCCTCCCCCCTCGGCCGGCGAGGGTTAAGGCTCTCAGAGACCAGTACAGGGCCTGCAAAGGGCAGTTTGAGACGTTTAGATGCCGACTTGGGCCATCAGAGGCTAATGTGGGTCCTTACAGGCCATCATGGGCCCTCAGAGGTCAGTGTGGGACCCTAAAATACCTGCATGGGCTTACCGGCATGGGAAAATACCGGCACGGGATCTGAGGGCCCGCAGTGCGGGGCCCTCAGATCCCATGCCTCAGATCCCATGCTCAGAGGCACCTAAAGGTTAGTCTTGGGACCCCGGAGACAGAAATGATGTCATCAGAGGCCGGAGTGAGGACCTCAGACGCCGGCTGGGCCCTTGAGGCCGGTTTAGGGGCCCTCAAATGCCAGTGGAGGGCCCTCAGAGGTCAATGTGGGTTCTCATCCCTCAATGCGGGCGCTTGACCGCCACTGAAGGGCCCTCCGAGATCAGTGTAGGACCCTCAAAGACTGGTATGGGAGCTGTTAATAGCTGGCGTGGGTTTCTTGAGCCTCGTGACAATCGAATAAGGGCCAGAGCCCCATACACCCATGGGGGCCCTGCCCATTGGTTGTTTGGGGGGGGGGCAAATGATATGATGGCCCCCTGATTAGCCTTTGGAGGGGGGGGAAGGGCATGGTCCTGATTCCCCTCTGCGACCGCCACTGCACTGAAAGTGCGAAGAGGGAGGGGCAGATACCCACAGACATTGCTGGCCCCCAGCCTGTTTGAACCGAGGCGGAGGCACGGTCACCCTGGCCCCCAGCTACTACGCCTGTGACGAACTATGCCGACTCCAAGCAGATCCGGTCAAGCGTTGGTCGTTTGTATACGCATTCTCCTGCACCTTACTACACCTTTTTAGGCTCAAGTTCGAATATGTTAAGTTCAAATTCGATTTTCGAATAAGTCAACTTCATATTGGAAGATGCCAAATACAAAATCGGATACCTCAAGGCTCAAGCTCAAATTGAGATATGCCAACATCAAATTGGAAGAAGTCAAATGCAATTTCGTCTTACTCAAGATCAAATTCGAATACGCCAAATTCAAATTAGAATAAGGCAACTTCAATTTCGTCTTGTATTAGTAGTGTTTGTTTATTTGTCATCATTTATCACTATAAATAATTTCTTCGTCACCGAATGCATGACATTTTCAGTCACAATGCAGGTACTTCGATGATGGACGAATGCGTTTGTTTTCTTTTTACGAGCGCGTGAAAAATAAGATGTTGAGAAATATGTACGTATCATACTTATACGGACTACGGTAAAATAGGTCCAGGGTAAATGCAAAGCATATGCAGTCTAAAATTAAAAAAAAATTAGCCTTACAATTGGAGCAAAAGTAATTGCACGCATACATATAATATAATGACAATTGACTCGAAGCAATGGACGGCTTGGACACCGTCACGGATGTCAGCGATCTTGAGCTGTCCGACAGTTCCGCTACACGTGAACCAGTTGGCCGCTGCACGGCTCGCTCTCCCCGCCACTGTCCAGTCTGATATCGCCGCTCATTGCTGACAAGTGACAGCTTTGTGTAAATATGAGTTCATGATGGCGGGATATTTTTGCATACTATGGGTACAAGTTTTCAAATGGCAGCTTTCCGTTTCATGTCGAGCATAGACCGCGTCGCCCTGGCAGAGCTGCGAACTGCGTAATAAAAAACGGAGAAATGTAGTTAATGACGCACAGTCTTTTATCGAAACGAGACGGGGCGAGATGGGAGTCGACAGCCAAAGTCGATCGAAGGTAGATGGCGATTAGCAAATCATGATAATAATAGCATAATATAATAATGATAATAATAATAATAATAATAAATAATAATATTAATGATAATGATAATGATAATGATAATGATAATAGCATCATAAGAATTCTACTTATTTACGGTAGGTAGCTGCGTTGAAATTGAATTTGTCTCATTCTAATTTGAATTTGACGTATTCGAATTTGATCTTGAGTAAGTCGAAATTGCGTTTGACATCTTCCAATTTGAAGTTGGCATATCTCAATTTGAGCTTGAGGTATTCGATTTTGCATTTGGCATCTTCCAATATGAATTTGACTTATACGAATTTGAACTTGACTTATTCGAACTTGAGCCTAAAAAGGTGTAGTATTGTCTTATTCCTTTTCAGTGCCCGCTCATGTCCCGCGTCTCGTATTCAACAAAATGCTGCCACCAGGACTCACAGTTTTGTCTCTGATATGGTTTCCTTCTTTGAGTGAAGGAAATTGCGGTCAATAACGCTGTAGAAACAAAAGGGAGTCTTCATTAAAGGGCACGTTGAATAGTCGTCAAGTTCTGGTGTTTAGGGTACCGGGTGGTAGGTACTTACAGACAGACACTAAAGTCAGCAAAAAGTGGGGGGCCAGTTAAAATTGCTGGCCCCCCACCTCCGAAAGTGGGGGGCCATGGCCCCCGCCCCCCCCCCCTGTTCCTACGCCTATGGTCAACGGACGCGTCGAAATAAACAACTTCTAGCACTCCACTCTTCTACTCTGCAGATCTGAGATCACTACCACCTTGCTGACCTTGCTACCACCCAAGCCCCATAGCATTATGAGCAACCAATCACTCACAAAAGGCCTCTACACCAAGGCCCTAAAACTCTACACCACGCTCGTCGCTTGCTCGGCGCGGTTCATTCCCATGCTTGAGCCCAAGGTTGAGCCCAAGTTGAGCCCTAGACTCTTTAGTACCCTGGTTAAGCGAGCCAAGCCGCCAAGCTTCCTATAGTTCGTTTTTTTTTTCAAAAGGACGCTGGCTCCAAGTTCCTTATCGAAGCTCTCACGTGAGTTTTGGCAGCTTCAGCGTCTGGCCAAGAATTTCTTACCGAAAAAATATTCGATTTCAAATTGTGCACGGTAAGTACCTGAAAATTGTGTCTTGAAAAATTAGCATACTATGATGACATCACTGGTGGCAGCAGGCACTCAATGCCCGTACGATGGGACAAAGTTTCGACGAATTTGGGGGAAACTTCGTTTTTCACTGTTGCCGAGGTTATAAATTATAATCGAGTAAGCGGTTTCGTCCATGATAGTTATACGCTACATTGCAAAACAATTTCGACAGCATGACGTCAACACTGTTCTCAAATCTGGTTCCAAAACGCACGGATGGAAATTATCGGGAATAATTCACATGTTAAAATAAGGCGACGTTCGAGTTTCTCAAGTTCAGTTTTTGCTCGTTTTGCTCGCTAAAACGCGTGCTTTTTCGAAAAACATACTTGGAGCCAGAGTCCTTTTGAAAAAAACGAACTATAGTTGTTACTAGCGTAATCTTGGTTACTAGGGTTACCCGCGTGCTCCGCAACGCTAAGGGGGGATTTTTTGACCCGTGGGTTGGTCTGTGTCGATTTGGTTGGTAAATATCCATTTCGTTCGATTGCTTTTTGACGGCCAAGCATTTTGTAAGAAAACAAAAAGATACATCGCATCGAGGTGCCCGTGTCGTATTATCATGCGTTCTACTTTAGAATGATTCGAAAACTGGCGTGAAGTCTTTTGAAGGCCATCGATGAATTTCGCTAAAAATGACAATGTAATGGTTTGGAACATTTACATTTTTAAGGATACTGTTGCTAATTATGCAAAAATGAAGAGTGAATATTGGACAGAATTGAATGCTCTATCCAATGGTACCATATTCAATTGCCAAAGGTATCAGGTTATGCAGCAAACCCCGTGTGATTAATAAAGTGACACAAAATTGAAAACACCATTTTCTCCTGTGATTTGCACCACCTTGATTTGGATCAATCAGCTTTTCATAATTTTTATATGAGAGGCGGTACCTTTCTCTTGCAAATAGGCGTTGATTCAACTCGCTCCATTTAACGGTCACCTAAAAATAAAATTAATTCCAAAATCCCTCAAAAACCGCAATTTTTCAAATAAAAGTGCCCTCTCCGGTGCACGTGGCGCGTGCTATCCTCTGCATTAGGGCGGGTCGATGGAAAAAGTTTCAAAGTGAAGAGCGATTTTCCTACGGGCTGATCCATAAAACGGTTAAAACATATTTTTTTTTGCGAATTTTTGAAAAGGAACTGGGCGCGCCGTCAACGGTTTTTCGAGACCACTTTTGCTAATTTTTCTCGTTGTTTGCAAAATGTAGTGGGAAAAATTCGAGAAAGGTGCTATATTTACCACTTTCCTAGTTCTACATGCTTACCCCCACCTCTTCACAAAGTTTGGAAACCCCAGTGGCAGAATCGTGCTCAGAATAGCGATTAGCATCGGCGCTCTGAGCGCAACGAAACCAGCGCCATCTATTGAGCGAGTTTGGCATAACATTGATTTTGACGGCTTTCCGACCGTTAAAAGCTGACGCAGCCGCTGCCACGTCGGGTATATGGTGTTCTTTGGTGTTCCTAGGTGTCTGGTGTTCCTTATTTGACACTAGGTGAGTTGTACCCATTCGA